AAAAAAAGGCGCCAAGTACACGCGCAATGTATGTTGTAAATCTAAAAATCTTAAATGGTAGTAGCTTTATTTCTTCCTAACAAAATAATTCACAAAATTGCGTTACCTAATTCAACCTAAGTGATACGTATTTCAAAAAAAGATGTGAAATCTTTAAATTGCGCTAATTGCAAAGAGAATATATATACTTTGAAAAATAATTGTTGTGCAACTACTTTTAAAAAATAAAACAAAATTGTGTTACCTAACTCAGCCCAAGTGGTATGTATCTTTGTATTCCTGAGAGTCTTTCTATCAACCCAAGTGGTAGTAGTTTTAATTCTCCTTGATAAAATTATAATATTACAAAGAATTATTTTAATCACAAAGAATTAAAAAGGTAACATTATAAAATAAAAATATTTAATTAAAATAAAATATAGAAATTTTTCTTGTAAAAAACTTGGCGCTGCTTATATGTGCAAAAGGAAATAGACCAATCCATCTCTTTATGCATATGCTTATGCACCTATGCAAGTTTGTCTGGGTTGACCTTAAAAAAGCAGCGCCAAGTTTTTTACAAGAAAAATTTATTTATTTTATTTTAATTAAATATTTTTATTTTATAATGTTACCTCTTTAATTCTTTGTGATTAAAATAATTCTTTGTAATATTATAATTTTATCAAAGAGAATTAAAATTACTACTACTTGGGTTGATAGAAAGACTCTCAGGAATACAAAGATACATACCACTTGGACTGAGTTAGGTAACACAATTTTGTTTTATTTTTTAAAAGTAGTTGCACAACAATTATTTTTCAAAGTATATATATTCTTTTTGCAATTAGCGCAATTTAAAGATTTCACATCTTTTTTTGAAATACGTATCACTTAGGTTGAATTAGGTAACGCAATTTTGTGAATTATTTTGTTAGGAAGAAATAAAGCTACTACCATTTAAGATTTTTAGATTTACAACATACATTGCGCGTGTACTTGGCGCCTTTTTTTTACCTTTTGAAAAAGGTAATTTTGTACTGATATATTAATACATTAATATATTTAATGCATTCAAGTCTTAATATATTAATGTATTAATATATTTATGTATTAATTTTTTTTTATTGTATTTATTGAGTATCTATGTATCTTATTACATAATATACAAATAGCATATTCATTTATGTATTAATGTGTTAATGTATTTATGTATTCATGTATTTGTCATAATGAATACGTACCTTATTTCTGAATCTTTCGGAAATCGGAATAAAGTTTCCTTTGATCCCACAATCTTTAAATACATATAGATAACCTCTTTTATTATTTATTATAATTTTTATTTAAAATTTTTTTTAAATAAATACAAATACAATACAACTGACGCGCCGATGTATCTAACCAAATAAACTGTCAGATGACAGCCGCCATGTTATTGATTGCGCAAATCGCCATATTCATTTACCAACTTCTTAGAGGAGTGAACCTACTGTTCTTACTTATACTGTGCATATACTCTGTTGTCAGCAACATGCCAGCAACAATGCAGACACGTTGCTATCTGGGCATATATTGCATTATAAATCTAAAAAAATACGAAAGCACCGGACAAATTAAACTATAATTAAACTTTCCAGATAGCAGAATGATGTCAAATAACGTATTAATAATAACGTCTTAATGACATATCTCTGTCAATAATACATCATTCAATAATATGTCATTAAGGCCCCTGGTCCCTGAGCCGAAAACTCCGCGTTGACGGTAGCGACGTACCGTCGCGTTAGAAATAAGAACTCTCTCCAATGCCAATGGAGAATAAGCGAGAAATGTTGAGAATTGACGTGTCGAAAATTCTTGCGTAGTATTTCCAAATAAAAAGATATTTGCTTAAAATAACACTACAGATCACTTCAGCACACTTCGAAAACACTCCGAGTTGAGGTTAAGTCTACCCCTTTGAACAGCCGTAAAATGAATGTAATACGAAATCTAGTCATGCGCCTGCGCACAAGCCTGCATCGTATCACATTCGTTTTACGGCTGTTCAAAGGGGTAGACTTAACCTCAACTCGGAGTATTTTCGAAGTGTGCTGAAGTAATCTGTAGTGTTATTTTAAGCAAATATCTTTTTATTTGGAAATACTATATACGCAAGAATTTTCAACGTGTCATTTCTCGCTTCTTTCTCACATTCCAACATGACCGCGATGAGTACCCTGCAGGAGCCTTTAAGACGTTTTTAGACGTCGTACCCTACTATTTGATTTTTATTCGCCTCTTCTTTCAGAAAATAGTTTTCCAATATGGCGATTATTGAAAAAAGCAAAAGAGCGTGAATATTACGAATCACAAAATAACGCGCAAAGAAAAGCGTGCGCGGCGATAATAGCCGCACAAGTGAATACGCGCACTCACCTTGATGCGAATCGGCAAGCAACAGGATGTGGGTCGTCACGACGCAACGGAGGTCGTCGCATCCTCTCATGTCGGTCACTCGTTCATTCAAGCATAACCTCGATAAATCTACAATGTCATTAACGGCGACGGAAACGAAAACGATGAAAAATATGCTGTTGACGCTCGACGTTTCACGATGCGCGAGTAGCGAGCTTTCAAACTGAAGTTTCTGCGATCACGTGATCACCGTGCCGCCGCGCGGCGCGCGCACGCGCCAATCGAATCAGCGGCGGCCGGTGCCGCGGCCACCTATTGCACTTCTGCTGGACAAGTTGGCGGCGATTGAGTTTGAATTATACGTATTCGATGTCGCGCCGAGGGGAAATGCAATGCTTACACGGCGCGTTTCTAGGCGACGGGCCAAGCTCGCGCATGACATTTGCACGAGTGAGATGAATCGTTATGATCGTATACTTACATAATATACACGTCGCGACGATTGAAAAGGACTTCATCGTGCGTTAAATAGGAACTGTATGATTTCGGAAGTATGACTCGATAAGATGCAGTTATCTTAGATGCAGGAAAAAATTCCTCCTCGAGCTTACGGGAAATAAATTTAGTCTTAATAAATAAATGTTTTTGATTTCGTTTTATTTTGAAGAACGCATTATTCCGCGACAATGGGCGTTTATGAAACGAACAGAGGGGACATAGAGAACGACAGAAATGTTTATAGATCGCACATATATATGAGCTTCATACGCGACGCGACGTACGAAATGTTAGTGAAACATTTAGGCTAGCGAGCGATAAGTAATTAGGTCGACATTCGACATAAATACGCAATTGCGCAACTTTCATAGCTGTTTATTTGTGAGAAAGGGAAAATAATTCACGCCACTGCAAAATCGGCGACTGTCACGTATCGCCGAATACACTCCGTCACGATACGCTCTAGTGACTTTGCAAAATACAATTGGTCCGTCTCCGACCAATGTGCCGACAAAGTCGGTTGAACGCTCCGCATTCTGGCGTTCTGCAAAGCCCCGAGGTAAAGCATCGATGCGCTTGTGTCATTCCAAACGATGAGGCCCTGGCGACGGGAGGATTCCAGCTCACAACTCTAGCGTATTCCCGAGCCATTCCATCAACCGACGTTTTTATCGTGCGTCACGCTATAATCGTGCGGACGCTGGCGATATCGTTCTATTCCTGTTGCGATCTAGTGACTTTCGACGCGACATAGTAGCGCCCTGTGGCGAACAGGCCGGCGGCCAGCAGCAGGCTGGCGACGGCGAGGACGAGATGAAGTATCCACGAGCGGTGCTGCGAATCGACGTGGAGTAGCTCGCGCAAACTCTCGTAGGTGTGATGCAGCGTGCCGCGCAGGGCGGCGTCAAGCGATCTGCCGGCGACGCGGCCGTCGCCGCCGCAGCAATCGTACGACATATATATATATATATATATATATGACGCCGCGTCGCTGTTTGGCATGAAAATAAATATAGCGGGTACGTCGTGGCGTGCCGCGACGTGACGCGACGCGGCTCACACCGCGAATGGCCGTGAGCGGCCTCGTAGAGAGATGCCGAGTTTTGCGGCTAATGCGTCCAAGAATCACGATGCACCGTCAACAGACGGAACGAAATCTCGCGAACGTACATACGTGTATGCATGCGTACGAACAACTGGCGCGGTGGGGTGAACGCCAAGCGGGTTTTCGCTTTCGACTGACTGAAATCGAATGAACTCGGATCGCACGCCCGCTACTCCGTCCGCGTGTGAGTGCGTCGCGTCGCGACGCGGCGCGGCGCGGCGCGTCGCGCGTGCGTGCGTGTATGCTCGCGGACGCATGCTGCACGCGTTCGACCTTGCGGTCTACGCCAGTCCAGTTTACGCTACGCGATTAAGCGCCGAGTCAGCGAACTCTTTGCTCTCAACGCCGATGATATTTATTTATTATAATGATAATACAGCATTTCGTGCGCTCGCTCACGTAGGTTAATTCCCTGGTGGAAAAATGTCTTAGGCCAGTATTCACATAATCAGATCTTATCACTGAAATATATACTAACTGAAACGAGCGCTGGGCCTGCGATATGAGAGAGAGAGAGTATGTCAAGGTGTCTCGAGCAGTGCTCTGTCCTTGTCTAATCTTCTTGATCGGCCTGTACTTCGTCCTCACTCCATCCTTCCCACTCTTGACTACGCTGTGAGCTAGACAAAGAGAAAAGGGGAACTTGGGACTTATTTCTCATATCGCTCGCCTGTCGTGGATTTCTATATATAGTAACGCTCGTTCCACTTTGAATATATATTTCAGTGGACCCTATATTTAAGACTATCTTATAAGTACAATCTTAAGATGTCATTTGAAATAAGTTTCGACTATGGCTACGTCTCGATATTCACTACCAGTACTGAAAATCTATAGTACGTGTGACGTAAAAATTTTCAGTCTATAAATACTGGCCTTAGAATTTTTCATATTATTATCAGAATTTTTGAATTAATAAAAATTTTAAGACTCAGATTTTTTATACGATTTGGAACGTTTAAAAAAAAAAACTCAGACAAGATAATAATGAAATATTTCAGATTTTTCCCGCCAACACATCTTTGTAGAAATCTGAATAAATAAGTATGAGAAAATTGACGTAATTTAGCAGAAATTTTCGTATTATACTAAATAAAATAAATTATACGAATTTAAATAAATGTTTCTTATCGTAGTCTTATTCTTAAGTTTCTTAAGTTAAGTGACGAATAAAAAATCGTGCTCAGCTCGGCTTACAAAACGCGAATGTGGAGATGAGACGAGTGATTTATCATTTATTTATCAATGACAAGTGCTGCACGCTGCATGTATGATACTAGGGCTGTTCCCTTTGGACGCTTTCGTGCTGAAAACGTATTCTATCTTTCTTTAACATATAATGTGCAATAAAGATAGAATACGCTTTCAGTACGAAAGCGTCCAAAGGTATAATGCAGCCATGATGTATCAACAGCAGTCACATATGCGTTGTAATTTTAAATGACCACACGAGAAATTGTTGTAATATATCTATCGAGGCCCGAATGGCAATATGTAGATTAACTTTAATCTTTTTCTAATTCTTAGAACTAGAAAAATAAGTGAAACCGAAATTAAAATTAATATACATAGACATGAACACAAGTAAAGAAATAACTACGTTATTTAAATTATATAACGTACTGAACTAAGATCCTATGAAATTAAGTGAAAACTTTGCGTAATAAAGAAGGCTATCGGCGAAAAGAATTTCGTCGTTTTTTATTCTTTTGTTTTATCATAAATTCTAATGCGAAATTTCACAAGTTTGAAAGTAAGGCGGCTTTAAAGCTGATAGAGCGCGATCATTGACTACGGGATAATCAATAGTAAAACAGATGATTATTAATTGGAGGAACCGAAAATAAAATGTAAAAAACGATCACCAAAACAAACAAGCTTAGACTCGTCAAACTTGCCATTTTTAAACTGAAAATAGCATCTCGATATCTAGTTATGCACGATACCTCTTACAAGCGACAGTGTAAACAGTGCTTTAGACTACGCTATAGCTTATATCATCCTCTCGAGTCCCTGAAAGCGCAGGAATGCCACTCCACAACCAACTGTGAAAGTGGTTAATTGCGACCTTTTAATGTGCCAACATTTTTTGCCCCAGGTTTTTCTACGTTATCTCAGGATGGCTAAAAATGTAATCTTTCTATATTATAAACTGCAAAATAAACAACAAAACTCTATTGTTGAGTATAAGATTAATAAAATATTTGCAAAACGATATAAAGATTGAATTATTATGTATGTGTGTGCAGGGAAAATAAAAATTACACCAAAACTACCAGAAATTATATACAAATATATTTGTATGATAACACAAAGTTTTATTGCATTATTCAAAGTTAACGTCTTCTTCTATCTCTCTTCTATATCCTACGTCTCATACAACTGGTTGATACGTTATAAAAATTAACAAACTCTAATCAATGTAAATGTAGTTATATTTTTTAATAACTATTTTGCAAGTGTCACAGTTCATACCTTCTATGTAACTATTTGATAAATTATTTTTTTTCATCATTTAGATTATATTTTGTTTTCAATTTATCTAAATCTTCCATCTTTTTGTCAACATCAATTCGCTTAAATGCTTTGTTGCTCTGATAATATAGAACCACCAAATAACGATTGCATACATTAAAACCGCTCAAGTGGTCACAGGCATTCTTTGCATCAAATATATCTTCGTACACGACAAATGCTGTGCCTCTAGTTTCCGCCGTGTTACCTCTGAAACGAGAATTATAACTTTAAACATTAACTTGTTATTAGATTTACTTCATTTTGACTTTTACTATGTTTACGCAAGCGTAACTTCTGAAGCTTACGATAATTCTTCTGCGTAAACAGGATTTTGCAGTAACTTACGATAATTAACTCCGCGTAAACGAGTGAATTATCGTAAGTTACTACAGAAATAACGCTCGCGTAAACGTAGTATTTGTCAACTATACTTACACTCTAATTTGTCTGATAGCTCCGTACTTGCCAAATATATCATACATTTCTTCAGCTGTAATTTTATAAGGTAAATTCCTAATATACAATACTCTGTTTACTTCAGGTGGCAGCCTTACCTAAAATAAAATTTTTACTTGTTAGAAAACAATAATACATAAGAAGTTAGGTTAGGCTAGTATCAAGATCACTGTCCGTTAATATAGTGTACGTTTCGTGTATATTTACATTAGCGCGACGTTGCAACATTGCCATAGTCATTTTGGCGAATTAGTTTGTCCACTAAAGTTCTCGCAAAGTTACAGAATTAATTTCGACAATAAAACGTCCCACAATGCCGATCGACAGTCAACAGAAGTATGCTTGGTATGCTGCGTACGCCGTTCAGAAACTAATCAGATACGACATTCATGATCACCGTCGTATACATGGTGTAAGGCCCCGGACACACACTTTTTCGTAACAGTAAGGCCCGGTCTACAATGGATGTCGTAAGTCGGAGTCGTAAGAAATTGACCAATCACAGTTCATTATTCTTCGACCGCAAGGAGAATAATAGATTGTGATTGGTCAATTTCTTACGACTCCGACTTCCGACATCCATTGTAGACCGGGCATTAATGCTATACAATGCGAGTCGTAAAGTCGTGAGTCGTAAGAATTTACCAATCACAATCGAATTTGAGGAGAATAATCGACTGTGATTGGTCAATTCTTACGATTCACGACTTTACGACTCGCATTGTAGACCTAGCATTAGAAGACAGAGCTGCGTTCCAAAATTCACTCTAGTTAACTAAAATGCTATAGTGTACGTGACGTAAAATATAGATTTCGACAGCCAATCAAATGTTTATCCAAAATGTAACGCCACATTTAAATGCAGCATTAGTCACAGTTTGTGATAAAAATGCAAACAAAAATAAAAAATTTGTAAATATAATACGAAACTTCACAAATTAATTTAAAAAATATAATACATAATATACTAATGATAAAAAAACAATTTCTACATTAATAAGTAAATGAAGAATAAATATTGCAAATAAGGAATTAGAAAACGTTATTAATGAGGAAGTATACAGAAATGATTATCTACTCGTATTGCAAACTGTAAGCGAGAACAATATTCCTGACACAATGTTATATTTAAAATCGCCTTAAGTTTACTATAAAATGCTATAATAAAATAGTTTTTGCAGCATTTTAAGATAAGCTTTTCTGTAATCTGAAATCTAAGATTGAATTATGAGCACCGTTCTAAGTTGTAGAGACGTGTAATTGATTGTAATATAAAAGAAAGTGTTAGGAGTGATATTATATTAAAACAATTATAAATAATTAAGGAATGCAATTCTTCCAGAACATGTTTTTAGTTTACATTTTATACATTTTCCTTATTGCTTAATTTATACATTTTTTTATTTTTTCTTTTAATTATTATTTTGTACTATTTCTTTGTTAATTTTTCTTAAACCTTAATTATGTAAGTTCGAGTTTGAACGAGACAAGCAATGACTTCTTTCGGGAAATTATTGTTAACTTTTTGACAAACAATATTTGTCAATTTATCAAATATTTTATCCTCTTTGCTAAAGACATCATCATGACATTTTATAGACTCATCATCTGTTATCTGAGCTGCATGAAGGAAGCTTTCTGATGGATACATACAATTTCCTCTAGATATTAGGCAAAGCCAGTCATTTGATGGATTGGGCAAGGATTTGGTGGGGACTCCTAAATTAGTATAACGATATGTCTAAATCTGTGTGCTACGTATCTAGCTATGTATATGAGTGCATTTCTACGCAACTCATCTTCAAAAGTGATACGTTCCAAGTCATTTAATAAATTAAGTTCTTCCGGATTAGATTCATAATTACTTGAATATAATACTGAAAAAGTGAATAGTTAATGTAACGTATATTCCAAGTAGAATAGATGAGGAATGATTAAGGACCGATTTTTCGGTTGGTAAGATACCCAAATAACAATTAATGTTTGCAATTTTGCTGACAAGTTGTTATCACGTAAACAATTAAATTGAAGCTTAAATGGAACAAAGTGATTTCTCAGTATGCAACATGCGAGTAAATTTTGCTATCAAAAGCATTGATAGCAAATTTGCAGCAAAAACTTTACAAGAATTTGTTTACTTATTGTTTGATGATAATTCTTTAAGAATATTTGTTTACTTATTGTCAGTTTTTATTTATATACAATTAATCTTGGAAAAAAACGCTGCAAAGAGCATCTCCATTTACAATTATGTGACTTATATTTGTCTCATGACATGCTCTCTGTTATCCATCCTCCATCCTCAGTCCTATTACTCGTGTCCGAGCGTGGTGACTTCTCTTCATATACATGTGTTGCGCACGTGGATTATACACATTGTATATGCTCTCTGTTATCTGGGTAACTAATAGTTAAATCATATGTCTTTCTTTTTCCTTCAAATTAAATAAGGCTAAACATAGCTACATAGGAATAAATAAGTATTAAGGTTGTTTGGAAGGAATGAGTGAGTTAAGTTTTATTTATAAACCAAGTCCATTTCTTGGCACCAGATAAAGTTAAAGATTAAAGAGAAAGATTGATAAAGAAAATAATAAAAATTGATTGATTGATTGATTTACAAGGATAAACATATTGTGACATTATTTTTCAAATTATATTGGCCAATCGTTGTCGCAATAAACGTTTTTCTTTTCTGTTAATCAATATTGGAGGAATAAACTTCTACCAGTTTTTGATAAACATATGATTTAATTAAATGTCTGTAAACAATTTTTTTACATTTCTTAAATACCTGTAAGCTTTTGGACTTAATGATCTTAACAAAATGGCTGATGTAATATCTTCAGCTGACCATTTGATATGACTCCTTGTCGATGACATTAACATTTTAATCTGGCCAGGTGTAAATACCTTACGCAGAGCATCAATGGCTATTGTTTCCGCCTCTTTATGCCTATCCTTTGCCATTTTTTCAACTTCTGTTTGCAACTGTGTAACTTGTATACTTAAACCTTGATTTTTTTCTTCTAAGAATTCTTTTTCTTCTAAAAGATTTTTATTTTTGTTTAGGAGTTCTTGGTTGCGTTTCTCCGTATTCCTTAATTGCATCAATACCGTTTTGACATCAACATTTGCATTATTGCCAATCTCTTGCATTCTGTAAAATACATAATAATACTTTTCATAACAATACATATTAACAAATTAAATATGATTCGAACCTATTAAATAATAATTTTAAAGAAACATTTAATTACATACATCTCTTGTTGCACCGCTTTATTTTGCTCTTCCATACTTTGTATAGCTGGTTTATCTATATTTTTTGCAACTTCTTCCATATCTTGTATAGAATTTCCTTCCACATTCTTTACAGCTTGATCCTTATTTTGTGTTTTGTTTGTTTCCACATTTATTAAAATTTCTTCTTGCGATAAACGCTGTTTCTGTTGTGCGTATTGCACAAGTTCTGTGTATGTTGGAACAAATGACTTAACTCTGAAACAATATTATTAAAGGCATTAATTTCATTTGTACATTTATATATAGATACATACACATTAAAATATTCACGGTACTTTAATTTTTTTGTTGTCTTCTTTGCTCTGCGACATTATATCTTTTCGCTTTTTTTCTAGATTTAATGTTCGAACAGATCCCTGTTTTAACCTTAACACTTCTTTAGTTGGTTTATTTTGTAATCGTGGTTTTGTCTTCTCAAGCACCAAACAATTTTCATCAAAATGGATTTCGCATATCCTTGCTGTAAGCATGTTATAATATTATATCATAGGTAAGACTTCCGAAAGCCTCTACCTCCGAATTTGATGAAACGGAGGTTAGGGGCTATTCGGAAGTTGAGCATATCATAATATAACACATGTAATAATGACATTGTATTGAGTTGGAATTTAAAACATTAACTTAATTATCATTTTCTTTACGTTAACTTACCCGAATCAACTTTCATATCCGTTTCTTTTCTTTGGCAGGCATTAAGCGATTGCTGACGTATAGATGTTTCTTTAGGAAAAGTAAAATACTTAATTCCTTTAGTCCCATTATGATTCGTACGATTCTTACAATTTTTTACACAGCACGTTGGCATAGCTTCTCCGCAAAAATAGAATATCTAATATCTAAACACAATATAACCTTTAAACTATACTTCACAATAATATGGGAGGAGCCATATTGCTTTTGGCATCTTGGATAAAGTTCTGATTGGTCAAAGAAAATGACGGCTGCACATCCTCGAAACTGTCTTAAAGCCTTGTGTCCACGATGCTAGAACTGCGTCCGAGTTTCGATTTAAGCCAATGAAACTGCTGCTTTTCTGTAAGAGCCGCAAGTTGATTGGCTTAAACCGAAACTCGGACCGATTTCTAGTATCGTGTGCACAAGGCTTTACACCATGGTCGTATACATATGTATGTGTATGTATGTACATGTATGTATACATACATATGTATGTACATACATATACATATACGGTATGCCATGGCGGTATGTATGTACATACATACGTCAGGCTCTAGGGACTTTACTCCCACTTTACCCGCCTATGCGTGGCCACTCTCAATCATAGAGATATAAGAATAGAGTGCGCGAGTCATATGCTAGCACGTAA